TATTCGCCGGCGTGGCAGTGCGGGCCGCGGCAGCTCTTACTCGGACCACGGGGCGGGCAGACAAAGAAAAGCAGGCCAGGCAAGGGGCAGAAACGGGCCGGAGAGCGAGGGGCCGAGGCGCCAGAGGAGCCGTTGACGCCTCGGACGCCTTGAACGCCGCTGGGTGGAGGGGACGCCTGAGGCCTAAGAGCTTAGAGCGGTGCCCAGACACTCATGTGTGGACGGCCTCCCCGCCTGCGCTTGCCATCGCTGGGGCGTCCATGCACCGTGCATGTTTCGGCTTCGCTTTTTTCCCCAACCAGAGCTTGCCTCTGTAGGGGTCCTAGCGGATGCATATGGTCAGGTTAGCTGCGTCGCCGATTTCGGCGGCCCGCCCGAGTGCCCAGGTGCCCGGGTGCCCCATAGCCCCATAGCATTAGCCCTATAGCCCTATATCCCTATAGCCCTACAGCCCCATAACCCTACAGCCCTATAGCCCTATAGCCTTATAGCCCTAATAGCCCTAGAGCCCCATAACCCTACAGCCCTCTAGCCCCCTAGCCCTCTAGCCCTCTAGCCTTCTAGCCCTCTAGCCCTCTAGCGCTATAGCCCTATAGCGCTATAGCCCTATAGCCTAATAGCCCGATTGTCGTATAGCCCAGTAACCCTATAGCCATGTAGCCATAGCCCTATAGCCCAACAGCCCAATAGCCCTACAGCCCTCTAGCCCTCTAGCCCTATAGCCTCATAGCCCCATTGCCATATAGCCCCAAAGCCCCAACAAATATCATGATTGGGGTTTCTCTCTGGTATCATCTGTCTTTTTCCGCAAGATGATCCAAGCTGCTCCTCGATGGTCTTCGCCGGGAGAAATGCACACGTCCGAGCGATGCCAAGGGGGAATGGGAGGCCTCAGAGCTCAGAGCGGTGCCCAGAAATCCATGGGTGGCAGAGTTCCCCTCTCGTGCAGCTCCTCACCCCCTTCTTCTGACAGCGCTGCCTGGCCAAGACAGGAAGTCTAGAGTCAAGATGGCCCACCGATGACTGTGGTGGCTGCGACCTCCGAACACCTCTAGACACCCCCAGTCACCCGACAACTGACGAAAGCAACCGACGACCGACGGATCATACCCCCGAGAAACACCGACGGTGGCGACGCTCACGTCGACGACGACGGCTGCGGCAGCGTCAGAGGTATCCTGAGGTCCTCGGAGGTCTCTGGGGGTCTTTGGAGCCAAACAGGTCCCAGGAACCCTGGGGGCCCCTGCAGGACAAACAGATCCGCCAAAAGATGAACACCCTCGAACCCCGAACCGCCGCCGACGGCGGCGGCGACGGCGTCTCCTCGACCAGCAGCTCGGACTGTGCCCGGCCGCCGTCGCCGCCGCCGTCCGCGACGATGGCGGCGGCGGCGTCGACGACGTGCCTCCTCGAGGAGCAGCTCGACGGCGGCGGCGTCGGCGGCAGCGGCACCGACGGCGGCGGCGCCGACGGCGCCGGCAGCTGCGAGCTGCGGCGGCGGCGTCTCCTCGACCAGCAGCTCGAACTGCGCCCGGCCGAGCTCGCCGCCGCCCGGGGCCGCGCCAACGGCGCGGCCCCCGCGGAGGTCGCCCGCAACGGCGGCCGCCGCGTCCCCCGCGTACTCCTGCCGCCGCCGCGGCTCTCGGACGAGGGCCGAGGTCGAGTTCCTCGCTCGCTCCCTCGCTCCCTCCTCGCTCCCTTCTCCTGTCCTCCATCGCCCCCTCCCTCTGTCCTCCCTCGCTCCCTCCTCGCTCCCTCCCTTCCTCCCTCGCTCCCTGCGTCCCTCCATCCTCGCTCCCTCCCTTCGTCCTCTCCAGCGAGAGGGCGGCCACCACCAGCGATAGCGAGCTCGGCTTCGAGAAGTCGCCAGACGCGGAGGACGACGCACCCTTGGCCAAGATTTTGGAGGGCGCGGCCAATCGAGCTAGTCCGAGTGGCACGACTGCGCTTCTGCGGCGAACTTCTCCAAGATGGCCCGCCGCTGGCCTTCGCGACGATGGCCAGGCTGCCGAAGCTAGCGGCACCCGAGCCGCCCCTCCTGGCCGCAGATGTTGATGGCGGGCATGCGATGGCTTCAGACGCCGACCCCCGTCACGACGGAGCTCCCGGACCCCAGCGAGGACCTCGCCACTTGAGAGAAGGCCGTGCTGCGCTCCCGCACCTGATGGAACGAAAAGCTCAACAACTCGCTGAAGGCACCGGCGGCTGCGCCGGGAAATGAGGTCGCCGCACGGGTCGCCACCAGAGATTCCTTCAGCACGGTGCAACCCGCAGGTGCGCCATGGTCCAGAAGGGCGGAAACCCCTGGGCCCCCCCCCCACCGGAAGGAGACCAATGATGCCACGGCCCGCCACTGGACCTGCCCAATGCCCGAGGTGCCAGCAGTAGAAGGCAGAAAATCCACCCCGATGATAACCACCCCGAAACTCGGCACCCAAAGAAGGAATCAAACAGGGCAGGGCTGTTAGTCAGCGCCCAGGGCCGTTTAGTAAACGCAGATTGTCCGGTCTGGGTGGTTTTCCTCCCTCGAAGCAGGGCTTCCGCAGGCAGCAGGACCCTGCGAGCTCGTGCCTCGCAAAATCTGCGAGCTCATGTCTTGCAAAATCACTGAACGACGGCTCGCCTCGCGCGTCGCTGGACGGCGGGACACGAGAGGCAGCGTCAGGACTGCTCGATGCAACTCGACAAGAGACACCACCTGACCGACCAAGTCGCGGCCGCGTCCCCCAAGTGCCTGGTCGCCGCCATTGCGGCAGGGCCGGCTCCGAACAGGCAGGAGGATGCCATCCAAGTGCAGGCCGCCCTCCCGCGAGGGCCGCTCAGGAGGCGCGTGAGCGTTTCCGCCATCAGAGCAGCTGGGCCTGAGCTGCAGCACGGCCCCCAGCTTCAGCCGTGCGGTACGGGCAAGATGATCATGCTGGAGGTGGGCTGCGCGCTGGATATGCCGACCACTGATATGGTCAATGAGAAAGAGTGTGCCGCCGCCAGTGCCACCTCGTCTAGTCGAGCAGTCAGAGCAATACGACCAGGACTGGACCCGCACGAGCGAGTACACTGCCAAGGCGGCAGCGGCGATCCCATGGCGAATCCAGCGGGCATAGCTTCTCTTGCTGAACCTGTTCTGTGGCCTCAAGCGCCAGGGGGCCATCCGGTATGCGCCGGAGGCTGCGCCCGAGGTGGTTAATTTACTCGCAGAGGTGAAACCTTATGCGCTCCGACAGCCTGTAAATCTGAGACCTTCAGGCAGGGCATAAGGAGCAGGCAGGTCGTGCTGAAAGGCGGTGGCCCGCCCTGCGAAACCTGGAATGTTGGGAAATGGTCCGGGTTCCCGGGGCACCCGCCTCCTCGCTCCCACGAGGAGTACTGGGGCACGCAGCTTGCCACGCCGGCCCACAGGGACCAGCTCGCCATCGGAGGCAGCCTCCCGATTGCGCTGGTGCTGCGGCTGAATCCACCTCGACGTGGGCACGGCGGATTGGATGGAGCATCCTGTGCCCTGCTCGCGGCGACTGGCGGCGGTGACGAACTGGACGTAGGAGCCAGCGTTGGCCTCGCAGGCTGCGCCCTGCACCACGACGACCGACGTCGACCAGAGCGAGCAAGGCCAGAGTAGCCGAGCCACCACGCGCCTGTTCGGGCTTCGCATGGCGGGGCTCCACCGACGGCTCGACGCCACAAAACGGAGAAGACAATGGTCCCACGGGCGAGGCGCCCATGCCGCCCTTCTACGGCGAGAAGATTACTCGCTGGCGTTCAGGACGAATCGGAAGAGAGTCGACCCTTAAGCCTTGCATAGCCGCATCGCCGAGAGTTTTCTTAGAGGGGGCGCTCCTGGACCCCGAGCTCCCTGATGCCCCCAGGGCTGAATCTCACATCCTTGCACAAAGTTTGGCTGACTTTTGTGTCACGGAACTTCCGGAGGGGGAAGAGGAGGACGTGGGGAGGAGGAAGAAAAGGAGGAGGAGAAGGAGGAGGAGGAGGAGGCAAGGCAAGGCAAGGCAAGGCAAGGCAAGGCAAGGCAAGGCAAGGCAAGGCAAGGCAAGGCAAGGCAAGGCAAGACCTGGGTAGCCGCTGTTTCCGCCATCTGGCTCACCTCTGTTGGGTGGGAGCTCTCGCCATGACGATCGCTGCTGGTGTGATCAATGCGCAACTCGAGCAAGCCTGCGGGACTTCATAGCCCATCATGAGCCTTCAAAGCCCGCGTTAGCACGAAAGCGCGCCGCACTTCATTCAACACGCACAGAGCGGAGGCGTAAAGCACTTGGGCCCTTAACCTCCACCTGGGGCCGACGGGTGCGGAGGGAGGCTATCAGCGCACCCGGAGCCTCGAGAAAGCAACGAGACAAAACAAACTAACACATACATTCCTGCGGCCACTTCGGGCCGATGCGGTCCCGCTGAACGTGCGCCTTCGTCCCGCTCATGCTGTCTACCCCCCGCTCCAACACACCCCCACCTCCCCGCACCTCCTCCAACCAACTTTCGGCAGCGCGCAGCCGACAGGCTTGGAACATACGAAAAGTTGGCGCTCTCGGCGCCCAGGTCCGAGAAATGAATTGGGCATGCGTTTTCTTCTCGGTCGTTACTGAAGCCTTGACAGTCGCTCGGAGCCTCAGAAACGACTTTGTATCATGAGTCTTTCTGCCTCTTCAGCTCACGGATCAACTTTGTTGCTCGCTTACTGCCTGCAGCCGCAATTCTCATGAGCCCACTTCGGCTGACTGTTCCTGCATCGACGCTTGCACTGCTCTCTCGAGCGCCCCTGGGGGTGGGCCCCCAATCTTCACGACTCCGCCTGTTGCCGCGAGCGCCTTGATGACTTGCGGGGCCCCCGCGTTGCCCCCCGTCTACTCCTCGTAGCGCTGGATGAGCACGGGCCTCAAAAACGAACTGGCGGCGATCGGGCTCAGCATGAGATGCAACTTCGTTTGGTCCGCCTGCTGCCCATTCTCGTTGAACGTGTTTTTGGTGCTGAAGTAGCGCACCAGGTCGCTCATCTCCTCTCTGTCCATCGCGGTCATTGCCTTTGCGAACCCCTCGAAGATATGCTGCGCATCGCCCGGCAAGCCTTGCATCTTCGCGAGCGCGGGAACAATGCACTGCACCCGAAGATGTGCAGCAATGGGAGTCCGAGATATGTATTGCCTTTTTGCGTGCACAGGCGGTGGCGCCCCCTAGCCCATGCGCAATCCCTCCGCCCCCGCCGGGTGCAGCAGCGCCAGGGCGAGGCAGCCCCACAGCGCTACCATCGCAATGCGCAGCACCTGCGTGTTGTTGAGCGCGAGCTTCTGCAGCGGGAGCACTCGCTCCTGCATCGTCACATCCGCCTGTTCGTCTGAGCCAGCTCCATCCCCCCTGCCGCGGGCGCGCTTGAGCTTGCGACATCCTTTGCCTTGCCGTCGTGCTGCCGGTGCCGCTCCTGCGGCCGCTGCCGACGGTGGGCCGATCATCCACGCCGCCATCTGAAGGCCCCGCTGCGCGTTGCTTGACGTGGTCAGTATGTTCTGCAATATCCGAGGCAATGTGGTTACAGAGTGCACAAGTATTTGGGGATGCCGCTGACGGCGCAAACTCGAACGAAATGGCTTTGGCGGGGCACCACATCGGACTTGATCGCGACATGGCCCAGACGCGGCGCACGCAGCTTGCCCTCCACGCAAATACTACCCGACGCCAGGGGCATGCGTTCATTGCCGAAATCATCGAGCACAACCCCCGCATACTGCGCGCCCTGTTGGCGCGGGCCTCGAGAGCCCTCCGCGCGGAGAGAACGCTTCCGCAAACTTGTCCTCGTGGTGTTCCGCGCGTGCACACGCACTTGTGCATGTCCTCCTCCACTTCGCAGTACTCGCCTCCTCCCCAGGCCCCCCCCCCTTCCCCTCCCCCTCGTAGCGCCTGCCAAAGAAGTGTCTGATGATGCTGAGGCCTCTTCTGATAAGACGCTCTGCGAAAACCCTCTTTCTTGATGGGCGCGAGCGGCGCTTCCCGCACGTTCCAGGCCTGCGCGAATATCGACTCTGGGTCGATCTCGGCGAAAACCTCCAAGTCGCCCTGTAACCGCTGAGCCCATGGCGTGCTAAACTCGCCAACCTGGCCCGAAGGCCCCCGTCGAAGCCAACCTACTTTGAAGTCCACGTGGGCGGCCCCAAACATGCCCGCCAAGACCTGGGGGCGTTGTCGGGGGCCCCGAAATATCTTCCGATACCGGCGAATACTCAACTCGACGGCGGCTCGCGATAGTCCATGCTGCTTCGTGAACCGCGCGCGCCTCTAACGCCTCTTGCCCCCCTCGATGTCCTCGGTCGCGCCGCGGCTGTATACTCGCAGGAAGCGAATGGCAACCCCGCCTAGCTCATTTGCAAGGCTGCGCGGCAACGCAAAACCATCCGCGCCCGATGAGCCAGCGCCTGGCAAGTGCGCAATGAAAGGCAGACCGCACATGCGAGGCGGGGCTGGCTCCGACCGCAACTCCCCTAGCGATCTCCACCATGCCTCGGCGGCCTTAGCTCGCCCGCGTAGCTCTGCGCGAAGCTTGCCGTCGAACGCCGGCGCGGGCCCTGGCGCGCACCTCCAGTACCGCTGCCCCGATGACTGTCTGGCGCTGCGATATGTTTAACCGCTGCA